AAGTGAGTAGTATATTAGGTGCACCTGAAATCCTAGAAAATATATTCAGCTATTTACCTACTACATCCTTAGTAAGATTAACCTATGTTAACAAATTATGGAGACTAGAGGCCAGGTATAAACTTTATCAAAACCGCACTGAAATTATATATAAAACACTGAAGTGGTTTTTAAGTACATTTAGAATTTATGGAGAAATGCATTCGGATTTAAGATTTCAATGCACCCAATCCTTAATCAAAGTTACAAAATTCCAGCTTGCCTTTAATATCAATCTTAGAACAGAATTATTCATTATAAGAAAGCTATAAAAGCAAAATGCGCTGTTGCAGAAAAGAATTATTTAGAAGCCAATGAGTTATTTTATGCAGATCCAGGAAATGTAGATAAATATGCACTTGCTCGAAGGTTGGAGTTCAAGCATGCAAAGCTGGATGATTATAAATCCTATGTTCATAGGGATTTAATTAACTTTGAATATTTCCTAGTGAGGTATAATTATATTGTAAATCCAGATGAAATTAACTGCATTTATGATAAATGCATATTTTAATTAAAATAATTGAATTATAACCAGATACTAAGATTTTTGATTATTTATAATCTTCTTAGCAAGTTGCAATGCTTTTTTTCGTTCTTTAGCTTTTTCCTTTTTTTCTCTGGCAATAGCTTCTTCAGCAGGAGTCTTTAATTTAATCGATCCATCCTTAGATACAAAGGTATGTTTATTGGTACCACAAACAACACATTTACCAATAAACCGATTTTGTCCATTTCCTGTAGTTTCCAATTTCTCAGATGCTGAATTTGTTTTAGCTTGGCACTTTACACAATATGTATGAACCATCTTTTTTGAACTTATGATACATACATTCAAATAGGATTTCAAAATGTCAACACCAGTAGATTGTTATTATAAATACTATTCATTATCTGGGGTACCATCTAAACTGCTAAAAAATGAAGAACATTTCAATCTCCACATTAGACCTAAAAAAGAAAAAAAATAGGAACAACCAAAAGTAATTGTCTGGAAGGCCAATGCAGTACAGGATTCAGATTTACTTGAATTACCAATGGATCCAAAAGGATACCGGTATTCCCATATAGTTGTTGATGTTTCAACTCAGGATTTGGATGGAAATCCACTCAAAAGTAAAGATGCTGAAACAGTTCTAGATTCATTCAAAAGGATCTATCAACGAGTTCATGTAAAATTTCCTACTTTCAGATTAAATACCGATACTGGAAAGGAATTTGATAATTCTTTAGTCCGAAATTATTTCAGAAAAGAGGTTAAGGTGCTAATGAAATTTGGATTTCCTGGAAAACATAGACAGCAATGCTTTGTTGAAAAAACTAATCAAGAAATCCAGAGGCCTATATTGAATCGAATGACCGCACAAGAAATGAAAACCGG